GCCGCACGACTTAGGCAAATCCAGCTAAGTCCGTGTCAACGTGGCACAAAACCGTGCAGGTCGATTTGCATCGTGCGGAGTATACGGGCCGACTACTCGGAGCCTCGATGGCCATTACAGACTATGTATGATCGACCCTCGGTCACAAGTATAAAGACCGACCCCTTGGTCGATGTAAGGGGATTGGATCTCGGACACCAAAAACACCCTCAACTCTTCATACTAACTTAAGTTTTAGAGGGGTCGAGTCGGGAATCTCCCTTCCGACATTGACCTTTTGTGCAGGAAAATAGTGCTGAAGCAAAGATCCAAGTCTCTGCTCTACCTCGGGTCAATCCAGTGGACGACGCTCCAACCCGACCCGACATCGACCCTCTCACCTTTGAAATCCATATGGACGCGTTCTCGGGATCGAGCCGAGCCGTTCTGACTCCCCGACCACCGTGTGAAGTTGCACTACAGGTATCTTTCTTAATCACCAGATATATCGTTCATTCATGTTAATTCGGGTTGGAACAGACCTGACGGAGTTCATGCGACTATTTGGTTGCTTTTCCGCTAGGTGAGCTACTTTATACAAGACAAAAAGAGATGTAAGCAGTAGGAAAGCTTAAAGTAAGGGTTGAAGTGAGTCAATGTATGTTGAGTTATAATAGATGATGGAAGGGGACTCGATGTACCTTTGAGAAGATCTTATGCGTCTGTGATAGTGGGATAGAACCTGATGAGATGGTAGCACAAACCAGGGGATGGTGATAGGAGATAGTGTTCGGTGGTTAACTGGAGAATGACTTTTTGTGAAAGGACGAATTCTAGTAGGCGTGTGGTTCTGTATAAGAATTAAAGGAACGATGTCGACGAGAGAGTGTCACCAATTGGTTTGCTAAGGGCTACACTCTGAAAAATGGAGTGTTATATTTCTCAATGAAAAGTGCGTTAACTTTAGCTTATGTCTTCATGAAACGATGACAGAAATCATTGTCAAAGATTCTTTGGCATTCTCTCTCTCTCTCTCTCTCTCTCTCTTTACCTAAGATAAGAAATATTATATCCGGTATCATCACCATGTAAGTTGAAAACTCTTTTTATTTAAAAGAATACAAATTGATAGTGTAAACATAAGGTTTTAAATGGAATGATATTGATTAAAAATTTAGGAGATCACATTAAATAATGTTGTGACTTGGAATCTTATAGACTCTATCTATCTCTCTCTGTCCTCTTGTGTTTAATTAATTATTATACAATATATATCTCTCTTTCTAAGTTGGCTTGCATTATGTTGTTTGGGTTTCATACCATGTGTCAAGCTTAATCTAGTTTGCACATGAGAAAGGATGTTAGTGTTTAGCATGGCTTAAACTTTTGAACTTATTGGTAACCCACCCAACTGAGATATTCATCATTTTTGGAAGAAAAAGTTAATGAAAAGCCACACTGTTTTCCATTTACCAAAACTATATAAGAATAAGAAACTCAGCATAACTGGGTAAGAAATCCACATGCTAAGATTCATGACAAGGCCAAGCATACTCAATTGGACATGGCTTGAGAAAAATATTCTTCTTTTTTACACCAACAAGCAAAAAAAAGCAGTTGCTTGAATCCTTCAACTTGCTTGGGACCAACTTTGTGATGGATAGATATTATGATTTGACTTTGAGATTGAGATTTGAAACAGAATTCTGCAGACTGATGTGGCCATTTTGTTGCTTCATTCAAAACTCCATGACATGTCAATCTAACATAAGCAAGCAATGCTTTTGTTATGCATCACTATCATCTCAAGTCACGATCAAAAGCCTATCCAGATGACGCATCGTGTGGGAATGGGGGAGAACAAATTTATGTGGACCATATGCAATGGAGGAAGAGGAGAAGTTTGGGAAGGTCTGAGACAATTATTGAACTCACAGTTTTCATCATGTTCCTGACCTGTGCAAGTCCAAAGACAAATAAATGGTTCATTTCTCCTTCCACTTGTAAAACAAGTCTTTGCTTCAAGCTTTGTCTGACACATGGAAAATTATGGGTAACTTTTCAAGTGCCAGGAAGTTGCATATTAGCTAGCAGTCAGACATCTGTGGATAAGCATTTCAATCTCATTGTTGCCGATGACCACAGAATACAACCGAAGAGGACATGAAGGTGATGCTATCAACTCAGGACTACCTGACAAGTAAACATGGATGGATTGTTAACAATCACAACAAGACACATCTCAATCTCAATGTTGCAAATGATCATAAAATATAGCAGATTAGAAAATGATGCTAATTCTACAAACTCAGGATTGTGTTAACAGCTAAAGATGGGCATTAGAACTCATCATCCGGGTCAGCTTTCATTAGTGCAAAAAAGGAGTGGAATCATGCGTCAGGATAGAGAGAAATCATAGGAGTGGAACATGTGGAAGTGGACTCTGAGTCCTCCCTCGATTCAGATTGGAAGCATTCATATTGGAAAAAAATTGTCAGCTTCTGAGCGTATCAGGGTGTGGATTCTGCAACTCCCAGTGGATTGCAGCTGACCACTTGGTTCATGAGAGATGAGATTAAAAAGATTAAAAAGACATGGAGCTTTTTCTCTGTGTCAGCCCCTCAACCATTCCACTCTGTAGATTATGTCATCCACAGAGCCCAGGAGGGGAAGTGAACTGCCAGTCTTCCTCAACACTGGTTGGTTGGAGTAGGCAGATGGAGCTGTGAAAGCAAGATGGAAATTAAGTTACTAACCTTGAATCTTTTGGAAAGGAACATGCTTCTGTTTCTAAACAAGTATATTTATTGATATGCTTGCCATGATGGAAGGATAAACACACACACACACACACACACACCAAAAAAAAAAAAAAGGAAATTTATCATCCTATTTAGGAATGATAACATGTTATGTTGTACAGCAACATCAACGCCATAAACTCTCAACTATTTGAGGTTGATAATATATATTTTCTATTATCAGAGTATTTAATTTTTTTATTTATAATTTCTAACCACTAATGCCATATAGGTTGTATAAAAATTAATATCTTATCTGACATCATTCTTTAGTTCACTTTTTTTTTTCTTCTTCAAATTATCACAAACTTGATGTACAAAAATATTTTTCTGGTAGATATCATTTGACTTGGATAACTACTTTGTTCTTTTCGAATTATCACAGATCCAACTAAATGATACCTAATTTCGATTGAGATGTCTCTCTCAAACCCTAGAAAGTGTTCTTGAAACTATATTCAAGAGAAGTAAAAGCAAGAGAGAAAAAAGAATTTACTGTGATCCCTATTCCCACCTTGAACTAAATTGATTTCCTCACAGGCAACAGCTTAGCGGCAGACCTCACCGATGAAAATATCTACCTTGATGGGGAAGTCCCATGGTTATTGTCTTCTCGGCTGATATGGACGGCTCCGTTCGTGGTTGCCGCGTTGCTCGCTTTCCGAATCCCACGCGCTTCCTTCGCTCTTCTCATCTCTCATCCGCCCTGCGTCTCTCCCGACTGACGCGCATCCTTCGCTTACGTCTTCCTCACGCCGTGCCGTCAAACCACCGGCCGCCTCTCCTCTTCCAAGCGTCCGAGAGTCCTACATCTTCGCAAGGCCGAGAATAGAAGCGAAAGCCTAACCTAGTTGAGCCCCCTGCCTTGTGATTCGACGATTCTGTGGAGCTCACCTGATCCTTCCAATCCAACGGCAGGTAGTCCTGCCCACTCTAGTGTTTGTATATATATATATATATATACATACACTTTTAGTTCTCTCTGAGTCTCGTAATATCTTTTCGTTTCTCAAGCGTACCTGCCCGTTTATTCGATCTTTCGTGGGGACCATCCTCTGGAGACACTATTGATGCGCAGGTAAGGTAACGAGTGGCGTTAGAATCGAGTAAGACAAACACTAAAACACTTAATTCTTCCACTTAACAGTCCAATAGCCAATTCCATTTCGTCTCATGTTGGCGGCTAAAACCGAACCAAACCGCGAGCGTATATAAACACATGTAAACCCACACCACCTCCCCCTCGATCGATTCAATTGTCTGCTCCCGATTCCCTCGACTTCTCTCTCCCACCCTCCACGTTTCTCGCCCACTCCTCCTCCTCCCTTCTCTCCCTTCCCAAAACCCCTCCCTTTGCCTCGTCCTCCGCCGCCTCGATCGCTCGCTCCGGTCATGGGGAGGTGCGTCCTGGTCACGGGCGGCGCCGGTTACGTCGGGAGCCACACCGTGTTGCAACTCCTTCTGGAAGGGTTCACCGCCGTCGTCGTCGACAACCTCGATAACTCCTCCGAGTTCGCTGTCCAGCGCGTCGCCCAACTCGCTGGCGAGTTCGGCAAAAACCTCACATTTCACCGGGTAATTTTATATTGTTCTGTGGTTCAAAGAGTCGAGATTGAATTTTGGGTCTCGAATTCTTTTTCATGGATCTGATTGATTCCTTGGATTCTGCGACTTATGAGTGATCTTTTGTCGAAAAGGTGCGAGTTTTCATCGTGGCGATTTCGTTTTCATCTTCGTTTCCTCCTAAAGGCATCGGACAAAATCGAAATTTTTTAGTCAAAGATTGTGCATTTGGCTTGAGTTTTATTTCGGTTTTGAAGGCTCATGAAACCATAGCTTACCGTATTCGTAGATTTAGTGATTTTTCGCTTCAACAATTTGGAACTTTTGGTCGGTGGCTGTAGATTCTGATATGTGGATTTGTATAATTAGGGTTCTGGGGCCGCTTGCTCTTGTTGCCGTCCTTTCCCCAACTAAGACAATTGCATCATATAGCATATGGTTCAAGTCACATAAGCCATCATTTGATGCCAAATATATCAAATAGGAAACGTGATGTTACAAATTGACGCATGGATTCAAGGAACACTAAATCATCTACGTAACTCTTTTTAAGAAAACCTTGGGAACGAGAAATGAACTCATAACAGTGTGAATTAGAGTCCAATTTTTTTTCTTTTCAACGAAGCAAAAAGGAATTAGATTTTTTTTTTGGTCTTGATTTAGTCGGAGTTTTATCATTTAAATCAGAAGAACTAGTTCATTAGAAAAACGCATACATTTTGAGAAACCCCTTACTGAATTAAGTAAATTCTCCGTCATGAGAGCAAAATATAGGGAAATCTGAGTAGTTTTACGTTTTTCATCATCACCCTTCTTATTGTGCTGTCATTATCTGCAGCATACCAAAGTTTGTTTGTTGTTTCTTTCTTTTGTTTGAGGTGATTTTTTTTCTTTTTTGTTTCAGTGAAAGAATTATAATGCATTGGTAAACTTGCGATTGCATAGATTTCCAGTTCGTGCAGAAGTTGTCCTGGTGCTATCTTCTTTTAAGTGGAAGATGAGATGTCTTTGCCACCATATTCACTGATTATTATTTTCAGTTGTTGACAAAAGGAATCTCAATTTAGATTTTAGTTATTCACAAAAATGTCTCACTATAACGTGAAATAGGTGTACCCTTTTGGATTTTGTTGCTGAGTTTTTCAAATTGACCCTATATGTACTTCCATTTTTATTCTTAGAATGACCTTAAGGTGTGACCGGAATATGCTTCGTTAGGATCAGATAAATCTCTATGATCTTTGCACAACTTCTAAAGATGCTGATGAAATAGTCAGATGCCATTGTATTTGTTCTTCAACTGTTATTTTCATTGCTTCTGGAATTTGTTTTCTTAAATAAACTCCTGGCCCCTAATAATGTTCCATGAAAATGAATTATATCATATGTTTTCATCAAAATTTCTGGTTTTGACTTGTAATAGCATTTCCGCGAAGGTGCTTATATATATAAAACCCTGTTGTTATCCTGGTTTTGATTGTACTTCATAGTGAATGCCGAAATGGTAGATCTTTTTTTCCTTGTGGTTGCTACATTATGCTGACGCTTCTGCAGATTGATATTCGGGATATAGAAGCATTGGAGAAAGTATTTTCTACAACAAAGTAAGTTTTTTCCTTACCTCTTTATTGCTCTTATTAGTTGAACAAAAGGGGTTTAAGCTGTTTTTGTCAGCAGGTTTGATGCTGTTATACATTTTGCTGGTCTGAAGGCAGTGGGTGAAAGTGTTCAGAAACCCTTGCTTTATTACAAAAATAATATCATTGGTACAATTGCTCTTTTGGAAGTAATGGCTGCATATGGATGCAAAAAGGTATTTTCTTGATAGACTTCATTTATTAGCCAAGATTTTGCATTTTAGAAGATTGAGGATAATAAAAATAACATTCTTTGTAAACTTGTAACTTTTCAGCATCTATGGCTTTGAAAATCATATATGCTCCTCTCCTCTCTACCCGAATAACTTCTTAAGGTTTGTGAACGGACCTTTTATAGGGCCCTATTGGCATCTGAGGAAGGCCACTTTGATTTGAGTACAATAATAGGTCCTCCTGAAACCCTTCTCCTATGGGCTGCTACATAAAGCTGGCCTTTGGGGACATTACAATGGGCCACATATTAAGGTTATGAAAGAGACACATAAGATGAGAAAGTTTATAGGACATGTTGGACAAAAGATAGTATTCCCAGTAGCATATCTCTTCAGATTTGTTCTTCTGAGTCCTACAATAACGTTTAATGTAATAAACTGCATTAGGATGTTCTTTTTTATATATTATTGAATACGTAATATTTTTTGAACCTTTTCGTATGAAGTTGATTTTTTATGTAAATTATTAAATGCATTTGAAAATGGAACTTTAGCTTAACATAATTGACCCAAAATGGCTTTTGGGTCATTATTTCTGTGTATATGTATATCAGTGTTGAATGCCTTTGGGTGATTGATGTGTCAAATCTTGCAGCTGGTATTCTCATCATCAGCTACTGTTTATGGATGGCCTAAGGATTTACCCTGTACAGAGGAATCCCCTTTGTGTGCAATGAACCCATATGGTCGAACTAAGGTTTCTTCTTTTTTCTTTGACTCCTCTTTTTCCATGTACCTATTGATGTGATCTGACAATTTTTGTATCAACAATTGCAGCTTATGATTGAAGAAATATGTCATGATATCCATCGTGCAGATAGTGACTGGAAGATAATGCTATTAAGATATTTCAATCCTGTCGGAGCTCATTCCAGTGGACATATTGGTGAAGATCCTCGTGGAATTCCCAATAATCTCATGCCACTAATCCAGCAAGTTTCTGTTGGGAGGAGACCTACACTAGCAGTATTTGGGAATGACTATTCAACGAAGGATGGTACAGGGGTATCCTTTTTTTCCTTAACTATTTATTATATGCTTTTATTTTGGGTTTTTAGTGGAAAATTGGTTAAGGACATGTAATTCATCTTTTTGTGATTTGATCCTCTTGGCACCAGCTTGGTGAATTGGTCAAGGACATGTTATATTGAAGCAAGTAACAGAACTAATTAACAGAACTTGGCCATGTTTCTTCTACTGATTCTGTTGTTAATCTGCACAATATTCAATTTTATAAATTTGTTTGTGCCTATTGTGGGCATAATATGCCTATTACGTCTATGAAATGCCAGTTTGGAAACTGAAGACTTACATATAGTTCAGATTTTGATAAGTTTTGTTTGTCTTTTCCTTCTAAATATTTATTTGCATAAACTGCCAGTTATTAGATAAATAAATTTTAGTATAATCCAACGGCTACTTTTGTTACCAACAATCATTTCTATATATAATACATATGATCAAGCCAAGTGGATGGTCGATGTGAGGAGACATGGAATAGGCAAGACGATTGGTGAATTTGCCCTGACAATATTATTTATTGTTGCTTCTTTGAATAGATTGCACAATATACTTGATTTCATTCTCATTCTTGTATTGTGGTTTCTTTTAGCCTTTTTCTTAGAATTTCATAATAAGCTTTCAGATAGCAATGATCACATTAAATCTCTTCCTTATCATTTCATGTGCTGAATAATAAGCTTTGCATTTTATTCCCATACTGTTCTTGCTGCTTTTGTTGCACATGACACAGCTAAGTACCTGAAGTGTACATTATTAGTTTATCTAATGTATAAACTGGTTTTCTTAGAGTTCAAAAACCAAAGTCTTCTACCATTTAAGTTTTATCACGATTTCTCGTTTCATAGACATCTTAACATGACTGCAGGTAAGGGATTACATCCACGTTGTTGATTTAGCAGATGGACATATTGCAGCTCTGCATAAGTTCTTTGAGGACCCCAATATAGGTGTGTATTCAATGCTATTAAAGTTTGTAGTACATCTTGATATATTTGGTAGACAACATAGTTTTATATTACAGCCATGTGGGTTAAGTTAATTTACTTCTTGGAGTTTAGACTATTGTACATAGTTGTCATATGCATGGTATGCAGTACCGAATGGTACCGCCTGGTATGGGTCGTACGTACCGATCTGACGGCATATCAGTATGTGGACCGCTCGGTACCGGACGAAACGTGCTACAGTGCTACAGTATTATCTACCAATGAACATATTGTTATTGTCTATGAAGCACAGACATGCTGATTTGGTGGGCGTATCCATGTTGGACATGGATTCGTCGCCAACACGGCTGAACACGTGTCCGATACGTGTCTTCTTTTGTTTATTTATTTGTTTTCCGGACACGCATATCCATGTTGGAGTGACTCTCCTGCACCCTTCCTCACCACTCCCGCATCCTTCTTCTCGTGATGCGCACGTGGGCTGACGGTATTGAGGCAGCAGCTTTATGCGGGGCCCATGTCGTGGCCTTCGAGTCTACAAAGCAACTAGTGCGGAGGGGTCACATATCTTTATTCGTAACTAGAGAGACTTTGATCGGTTCAACAAACAAGGGCCCACGCGGGATCTAGTTGATGGTTGTAGCAAATGGTGGGTTTTGGCAGCTTGCATAGGACAGCATGGTGCTACCGTTCTTTTGTTAACACGTATTCTCTCTTCTTCCTGTGTCACATTGTAAAGTGTAAAGTGTGAGAATTCATGATTTGCTACATTGGTCACATAACTATATTGATAATTATATCGATGTATAGTAGTGTTTCATGTATAGCAGTCCTATAATGACACATGCCTATATTGATAATTAGATTGATAGTAAATTTGTTACTAACTCTTAGCCTGAACTTGTGTTGTTAATTGACCATGTAACAAGTCAAGAATAAAGTAAATTATGTGGATATATGTTAGAAATTTAGAAAGAAATATCAAGGGTACTATGTAGAATTAAACTACTTATATTATAAGCTATAATTTGGTGCCAAGCTCATGTGGATTTTTTTTTTTTTTGAATCATTGTTTGGTAGATTAACTACAAAGACTTGTATGAAGTGTAATTTTATATACTGTAAAAATTACTTACATTTAATATATAGTTTTATATACTGTAAAAATAAAATCATGTAGGTTCTATTTTGAATCTATGTTGTTTTCTGATAAATTTAATTGTATTACAGCTGTACTATCTAAGTACATTTAAAATTATATGATGATAGTTATTTGTTCACATTGCTAAGTCTATAAAATTAAAGTATAAATACTATGAAACGTATTAATCAAATATTATATATATCAAAAAATACATGTGTCTCGCCACATCTGTGTCCTAATTTTAAAAAAAATGATGTGTTGCCGTGTCTGTGTCTGTGTTTGTGCTTCTTAGGTTATTGTTGCCAAGTACCAATTGTATCAATCTATATGTACTACTACAGGATTGTTATTAGTACCCAGATCATCCTGTGGGGTTTGTTAAAGATCACCTCTATGTCACCTGGGTTCAATGGAAGATAGGCACTCAAAGTCATTTGGTTTTACAGCTTTATATTCAGGTTGCCCGATAATAGGTTTCATAATTATTATAGTCATCTTCTGAACCTTGTGTGGTGTATTGCAGTCAGCTATTGGTCATAGCTATGCTTCAACTTGGTTCAATGAAAGTTTAACATTCTTAGAAGTGTATTTATTAGCCTGACACTAATTATAGCTACTTATAAGCCAAAATAGGTTGGAAGTCATATATGGTTTAGGTTCGTCTATTGTTGTCAGCATTAAGATCTCTATAATGAGGCTCTCTTATTATACCCTTCTTGTTTGGGCATTTAGTGATATTTCTTTCTCTAATAGATTATGTGATTTCATGATATAGAACTTCTACAATTCTTTAGCATGCTTTATTAGGTTGGAAGAAATTTTAGTATTACAGGCTAGAGATAGCTTCTTCAAGCAAAAGCAGCAGACTTGTGTTTTGCAATTTATTTTCCATACTTCATTATTGATGCCTAACCATCAGTGTTTATCTGGTTGATCCCACCATTTTCTTACAGGTTTAATTCATTTACTCTGATTGCTAGCGAGGATCTTGCATGTTTGAACTGACAATGTTGTGTAAGCTGCAGGCTGTGAAGTTTATAATCTAGGAACTGGCAATGGAACATCAGTGTTGGAAATGGTGGCAGCATTTGAGAAGGCTTCAGGCAAGGTACTACAATTTCGACATCATGATTTCTTAAGATGACTACAAACCAGCTATTTACTTGACCAATCATGTTGAACATGGGATGCATAACTTGATATCAAGATTAATATCATGAGATGACTTGATATCAATTAGCATTCTAAACTTCATGGTATAAGTAAAATGCACTGTTTTACCAACAAATATTTGCTTGGAAACCAGTTAAGCCACATGGTATCTGCTGTGCATTCTTTTGTTTTTCTACTATAGTTTTGACTCGTATAATTCTTTTCAGAAAATTCCTCTGGTCATGGCTGGAAGGCGACCTGGTGATGCTGAAATTCTTTATGCATGCACTGCCAAAGCAGAGAAGGAACTAAATTGGAAGTATGTATTTTCGGTAATACTTGCATGCTCATTTTTTTTTCTTAATAAAAATCTATATAGTTCCAGTTAGCTGCACTTAGTTTCTTATCTGAATTTTGGAATGATGGCTACTGCAGAGCAAAGTACAGCATCGAAGAAATGTGCCGTGATCAGTGGAACTGGGCTAGCAAGAACCCCTGGGGATACGGTCTACCTGATCCTGCTAACTGAGGAATCTCTTAACATAATTTCTTCAATGAATTTAGAGAGAGATCACTAATTGTGAACATAATGGCATGTAAATGTGGAATAGGTCCAGCTGATATATTTGTCATATAATGTGGCATGAATAAAAAATGCTTCTGTTCTGATATAATGGGAGCATTATAGTTAAAAGGCATCTTTGCTTTCTTTTTTTCTAAATATCTATTCTTTGTCTCTTTTTTGGCATCTTAAACTTATGGCTTCCTCCTCGCTTTTCTATTCTGCTAGGTGGGGCTTCGGAGGCTGATTCGGCCTATGACTGGGAACAAATGATAATATAAATGATATATACACGAGAAATTCAAAAACCAGTAGTTGAAACTTTCACTCTGGTTTGGTGCTGCCTCAGATTCCAAACTTTTTGCTTATTGCTGTTTCTTTTTAGTCTCTTACTGGTTGGTAATCTGAAAGCTTGCAGTGTCTCCTGAATGTCTCGAGGCAATATATTGATGCAGAAGTTTTCTGTAATAGAAGATGCTGTATATGTGTGTGTTGACACATTGCTTTTATTTATGGATGCGTGTGATAACATAAATAAGACACCCCATTTTCTTATGTGTGTGTGTGTGTGTGTTGACACATGCTTTTATTTATGGATGCATGTGATAACATGAATCATGATAATATTATATATGGGTAAGATTATGTACATTGATTCTCTCTAAACCACCTTATAGTGTGTGCTTAGCTACTATTCTTCTAATGTGATGCAAGAAATACCTGGAAAATTCATCCTATTTGAATTTGGCTAACTACATATATTTTGTTGAATTTCCTATCAAACCCAGCTTAAATACCTTTATATATATTTGTATATCTCAATTTTGATCGATTGACGTTTTAATTTCGCTTAAATAAGTGCAACAGGTGCAGATCCTGTAAAACTCAATCCACTATTATTTAGGAACCAAAAAACAAAATAAAAATCATGGTAGGTAGGTATAACTTGTAATGCCTGCTTTTGAATCTATCTTTCCAGCCTATTATTTCTCTCCGACTGTGTAATGATGAACCAAAAATTTGCATGTTATTCTGCTGATCATCATAAATGTAGTCTACTATCATTTATCTGAAAGACAATCGCACAGCTCAATGGCATTATCAGCACATCAGATCCATTAAAACATCAACATTTATGAAGAGGCTATACATCATGCTCTGAAATTGAGATGTGATATGGATCTATAAAGGTCTTTTGAGTCTGTGTTCCATTCTCCCAACAACATACCTTGAGACATGAACAACAGAGAGAGATGTTATTCGAAGTCTGGAGAACCTCTCACCTCTTGGGGATTATGCTCAAGCATGACCACATCAAAGAGAGAATAAGAAGAGGGGGGGCCTTACATCTAACCAAGTCTGTCACTCCCATCCACCTATCAACGACGGTAACCCATTCACACACACCCGCAGTTATATATATATATATACGTACTTATACACACATAGGATAGATTCTGACCAGCCTATATGGTCAGTTGATCAAGATAGCGATCCATGATCTCGGAAATTGACTCCAAGAATGCAGTCTCGCTGGTTCCTGGAATAACAGCATCCTTTGCTTCACGGATTATCTCTTCGATCCTGGATTCCTTCTTGATAGTTTCTCTACATAAGATGCTTCCGATATCAAATGGAGTCAGCCCTCTTTTGGCACCCTTCCTCAAAAGCATGGTAGAAATGCGAAGAGTACGAGAGCACTCGAGTGACATTTCCCAGCCGTAGAACTTGAGCAAAGCAATGTCCTGCTCAGCGTCCAGTGAATTTATGTACTCCAAAGTTTCAGAACAAAAAGGTCGACGAGACTGAGGCCAGTAGAGCCACTCAAATGTGCAATCCTCAAACTGTATCAAAGGCATTGAAGAATGATAACTCATATATAATCATCTAGATGCTAAGAGTAGACTTGATGAAAAAAAAGTACAAGAAAAACCATAAAGAGATGATCCATATTCATCAGGGTATTTATTAAAGGGCATATACAACAATATCTCAAGGGTGATCTATCCTCCTAATAAAATGTCAAAAGTCATTGAGAAGGAATAATGAAGAACAAAACAAGCAAAGCATTGTCTCTGTGGTTCACATCAAAAAAATAATAAAAGTGTTGGCATAAAGAACAGTGTCATGCAATGTCCCCAATATTCCAGAAAACTTGTTCCATCTAAATGACACATGGTCTACATTATCCCTTAGGAAGTTGAAAATGATTTAGAGGATGGCATGATCAATAAACCAATAAATATATAATCTTTGTTAAATGCAACAAAAAAAAAAAAACATCATGCTAGAAATCTGGGAAAATTAATTCTGCGATGAAAGAAATAGGACTGAGGAGACAAACAAATATACCAACTTACATTCTCAGGAAGGCAGTACCCGTGATCGATTGGAACCAACACTATACGTCCTTCTCCTCCCTCTTTGCGGACTAAGATATTTCCAGCATGCCGATCTGCATTTGCCAATCGGATGTCTAACACACAGATCTTGTGAACCTCCTGCACCGGAAACACCCGCGGCCCCATCTCCTCACAACTTCCAAAGTTCTTGACAAACATTTGCAGTGATCCAACCTTAAAATTCATGGCTGCCTGTTCACATCCAGCAGGATGTTTAAAACCTCCGTGCATGCATTGAACAAGAACGGTTGGAGGAACACCGGCAAATCCGAAATCAACATGGGAGAATGATCGGTGGCCACTGATAGGATGATCAAGAATGTAAGCTGCTACTTCCCTAATGGCACCTTCTCCTACCCGCGTCCCTCGTTTTAACCCTTCACCATTAGTTGAGAGTGGAAGCCCACGAGGGTTGTTCTTAGCCAGTGGTTCCTCGTCGCTTGGCTTAAACACAGAAACAAATTCATTGCCCGAGATGTCTTGCATAAAATAGGCTCCCCCTGTACCTTCTGTAGACATGATCGGTGGGTTTCCCTTCTCCAATCCAGAAAGAGTAGCACACAGCAGATTCTTTATCACTAGAGGCAATTCAACCTTTGGATTGACAATAACTGGCTCAATCGACGCACCCCTACATGGAGTGTTTCTCGTAAATGCCTGAGAGCCATCAACGCATCCCTTATCAACTGTTACCGGTGCTTCAACAGACGGCTCAGAGTCCTCCATAGGCTTCGTCCTGACTTGTGCCGACCTGCGCACGAACAAGTGCAGGAATGCATTGTTGTTTGTGCAAATATCGTGTATCTCTCTCCGGTCTTCAACCTTCTCCGCCGCCTCCCCCTCGAAGAGAAAATTTTGGTCTTGAAGATGGACGAAACTAGGATTCCTCTTTGCAACCTGCTTCTTAACATAATGCACAGTTCGCCCCTGCTCGACGCGGAACTTTAATTTCTTTCCGGATGCAGTCTTCACAGTAATGACACGAAGATCAGATGTTTTGATAATAAGATGGAGGACTTTCCCATCGGACACACCATAATCACGTATGAGACAATCATTCCGGGCCATCTCCCGGCCATCAAATACCAGCTTCTGCTTCTTCACAGCGAATCCCTTGCAGCTCTGGATCTTAAGTTTCACCGAGGCGATGGAGTCGGACTCCAGGACCCTCATGGGGATAACAGGGGCACCTGCAACTGCAAGGTATATCGTTATCAACTCTGGTGAACAAGGTGGACCTCCGGCTCCATTGGAATAGCATGTTGACAATGCAAGATCTTCCCGGATTGGCCCAAGAGTGGCCCCGGCGGCTGACATCCCTTTCTCTGCAAGAAAAACCAAAAGAACCGTCACCTTGTATTTAGCTGCACGAACTACAAAGAAACCAAAAAAGGGAGAAAAATCGAGGGCTTGTCAAACCCTACAAGTTATTTTCCTCTTCATTTTGATCCACCCGAAAAGAACGAGGAACGAAATAACAAATCCAAATCAAACCCTACAAATCCTTGTAGTTGTTAAAAGAGGAAAGGGAGAAAAAAAAAATCTAACCTTGGAGAAGCAAAAAGAGGAATTACAAGAAAGATGTAAACTTCCCGGAGGGACCTTGATTTCACAAGAAGCAGGAACAAATCCAGGAACCGCCTTTCTAACAAATAAGGTACCACATTGATCGCGTAAACGTTGGCGATGTGATCAGACAGAGATCACAAGAACAGATGCAGATCGTGAACCATAAAGGAACCGTCTTTCCACGGATAAATTGGGATTGACCATCAAAAATTAAATTAATGTGATCATATTGGGATCAAAATAAACAAACCATGACGCCTTTTTGGAGAAAACCCTGAAACAAAAGGATTCCAGGGGGGAGCATGGGAGGGATTCTTACCGAAAGGGAAGAACCGGGGGCCAATGGAGCACTGAGGCCACCTTAAATCAGGGGAAAAATATAGCTAATGAAGCGGACGATTGGGAAGGGGTTACTTCAAATTTAGAGCATCGGTTGGTCGTCTCTCTCTCTCTCTCTCTCTCTTCCGGGCTTGTCTGCGAGTCTTCCGCTTCGCTCCTGCTCCAACCCCCTCCCCCCGGGCGGCGGTCACGGTTAAAGAAGTGGGAAACGAGAAACGCGAGAGAGAAGGGAGGGAAATCCTAACGGAATCGGACCGGTTTTCGTTAGAGACGGTTGGCTCCGGGTCCGAGGAGGACTTCTCGTCACGGAAGATACTTAACGGAGCCTCAGCGTAGCCGTTAAGGACGGCAGAGGAATAAATTTGAAAATTACTTAGTTTGAAGATATATATAATTTTACCTTGATAATTTCTAACAAAATTACCTATTTATATCCCTAAAAATTAGTCATATTCTTGATGTATGTGTGTGTGTGTGTGTTTTTTTTCTTTTAAGTTAAATATAAGTAAAAAATTCTAATTTTTATTAAGATCTTTTAAAAATTATCATATACTAAATAAATTTAAAAATTATATATATACACCTTTGGTTCGGGCATGATACAATCACACCCACTAGGTTAAGAGTTAGATAGGACCTAGTCCAATGAGGTTGATAACTTGATATTAATAAGGATATCAATTTAGTCCTAAGAGATCGACTGTAATGTTGGTAGGGAAGCTCACTAGATAAAGTCATTATTTCATATCCATATCCCTAATGATTCGACAAGTGATCTTATGACCTATCAATGATAGAATGAAATGAATAATCATTCATAAAATTTATCATAGTTTCAACCCAATGATCACTCGTCATACTTTAAAAGGTTCTTTGCATATATTCTTAATAGACTTCTGGCTAAATACATCTATTAACTTTGGTATTTGGTTGAATCCTATGAACTAATACTAACATATATATTAGAGAGTGTTTATCGGGTATGCCCCTAACGTAGCTTCTTATGAGATATCGACTTGAATCCTTAGATGCGCAATACCTTAACTTAAGAATAACTAGGAAACAAACCTCAAGTAGCTTCGAACCAAAGTAATATGTCGAATAAATGAAATCTATGATAATAAATTGATGCTCGAAGGAGAGCATATTCCTCTTCAAAGAATTGTGTGAGACCCTCGTAAGTAGTGAATCAGGAAGACCCTACTCTTTCAAACTTAAGAATGGTGGGGAATAATCTCTTTTCCATTTGCAAACTCTTGGCTTTTTTATGAAGGATAATTACATATTATCCCCTATAATTAATTATGATTGGCATCATGATCCTTATATTTTAAAAAATAATATTAGGATCCTTACACTTATAAAAGTAAAACATTTAATCTAAATTCTCCTTACATTATTAATTTTATCGATGGAAAAAATCATGCTGGGATCATAAAGGCACTAAGAGGGGGTGGGGTGAATTAATACTTTCGAAATAGAGTTTCAATTTGAATGTTCGATCGATAAATCTAGATCAAAAATATGTTTAACTTGAATATGAGTAAGGATAATGAGCAACTAAATCAATTAGTAATAGCAAAAAAAAAAAATAAAGAGAAATATAAACCGATTTATAGTGGTTCGGTTGTCCCGACCTATGTCCACTCCTAATTCCTCTTCCCTCGAGGCTATCGGCTTTCACGACGAATTTTTTTTTTAACGGACGAATATTAACTATCCTTGTTACAATCCTTTCTTCTTTTTATAGGCTTAAGAAAGAACCTTTACACCTATCTTTTATCAGATTTTACACCTCCTTAGTATATCCTCTAAACTTAATGATGAAGAGACTCAATACTTTTCAAGAGAGTTTATAACACTTTTATCCTCAAGAATTCTCGCTCCTTTCTTGTTTCATTAAGCAAGCATGAGTGACATATTTATAAACCTCAAATAACTTCAAAAATAGAGTCAAAAATTTAAATCCTTAAATTTTCGGAGTACTAGTGGTACTATTGCCTATGCCGAGTGATACTACCACCATACAAAGCCTGAGAACTGAGGCTCTGGCGGTGCTACTGTTGACTTGGGCGATACTACCGCTAACACTAGTGGTATTACCATCGAGATTTCTAGAAAAACACAAGCACTAACCATGGCCGAGAGTCCCTATGGCTAGGGACTCCTAGCGGCTAGGGTTTCCTAGCTACTAGGAACCCTAGCAACCAAGACTTATAGCAGTTAGGTTTCCTAACTGTTAAGGACTCTACCAATTGATTTTTTAATGGATTAAGGATTAATCTAAAATTAATTACTTAAAGAGTTTAATTAATTATTTATCGCCAAGTTGTCTGATTTATGTATGTACATATAATGTGTACTGTGGATAGATAATCATGGACCATAGACCATATGTGATGATTATATATGTGTATGTGATTATTATTAGGGCATGCGAGCCTCCCTCTCCCTCTTATTAAATTCGACATGTATTTTTATTTGACGGGAGCATAGATATGCCGAGGGGACCGATGAGAATGAAATGAATGATCACCGGAAATAAAGATATGCAGAGATACACAAAAATTTTATGAGTAATCATGCCTTTTGGCTCGGGCTTGATCACACTAGGTTTTAGCTCATGATCATCTGGTG